ATGGCCCATTTAACCGGAGCCATTGGCGACTGCATTTGAGACGTATAGCAGGTTCCGTGTATGGCAGATATAAGTGCCTTGAAAAAAAATCATGGTCCATAAACACAGAGGGTGTAGCCACGGAGAATATTTCATTTATCTTCGTTTGGACCTGATTTGGGTCATGTATTTGCTAGGAATCATGCCCTAGCTCCCCGTCCATGGGGAGAGCTCAAATCTGCGGAGAAAGCATTGCATGCTTCGTCCAACATAATAGGGATTGCAAACTTAGGCCCGTGAAACTTTTGTTGGAGGTGTTCGTGGTTGGAAATTCAAAGCATATTTTGTTGTTCACCTTCTATTTAATGCATTTGAATTTGTGAAGGCATCGAAAATCGATAGAAAGAAGCACAGTACGCAGTTTGTTCTTTTTAATTGGTAGACGAACGTGTAGAGGTGCGTTCAATGTAACTGAAATAACTGGGGATTATATTCCAAATAAATGTATATTACAGCCCTAACAACATCCGCGTAATAGGAGACGGCGAAATGTAAACAGTCTCTAGGGCATCTTCCATTGGACAAATTCGGCGAGAAATTTTAATTTATTAGCAAATGTTAAAAATGCTCGAAAAACGCCTCATGTGGCTGCATCTTCACAACACCATGTTTGAAATCTGACTGCATCGTATTTCCAAATCACCTCTTCTGCCTGTGCGGCTGAAAGTCTTCAGCAAGTCTGCAGAGAATACGGCATAGTTTATCTAAGCAATCTCTTCAGAGGTTAACCAATTGGGACAGCAGTTTTTGTGGAGGACCCACCACAGAAACTGAAAGCGCCAGCAACCTGCCTGTCTTCTCGAAACTATTTGCTTTATCGCTCCTCACTTCGCCTCCAGTATCGTAAATGAGATCGTTTGGGGTTCTACTTAGGTGGGTATCGCGCTTGTAGCATCAGATTGCTCGATGTTTCTTGTGCAGTTGGTGAATGCTCAAGTGTCGGTCTTTAACTGACATTCAACTCGCACCTGTGGCTTCTCGAGGCTGGACTCTACCTAGCAGCCACACCCCAGTAGCCGCCTCGACCGACGGACTAAGCTGGACGAGGGTCTCCTGTGTTGTGAAAGTCCCTACACTCCGTATGACTATTCACCACACACACGCCTCCCGCCCTTTCCCTCGCCCTCCTATCCCTTGACCTTCTTCCCAGACAAACCGGGTCCTTTTCTTACTAAACCCAGTGGCTCTTAGTGTAGTTCGGTGGCTGTCTGGGATGACTCAACAGCCCTATTTAGAGACAGCACTGCTAACTCTTCCGCGGGTTAGGCGGCTGGAAAAATTACCAGCCTGCCACAAACAAACTACAATAATAATCCTTTCCCCAACCCCCCCC